AACTAAATCAAATCACTCCTATTTAAAAAGTGAGACAACTAATTTCAATTACCTCTATTTAAAAAGTAGAGCAACTAAATTTGACTAGAGGAAATATTATAATTGCATGCTCATAACTTTCTTAATAATTGTTAACAGCTTAACATATTTTGGCAATTATCTCCTTTTAGTAGAAATAAGAACTTTAAGTGGAAATAAAAAATTTTAAAGTTAAATTAAATAACACATGGATAGAGTGAATAATAGATAAAAGAAAATTGCTTTTTATTTTACAACCATATATATAAACCTTTTTTAATAATCAAATGTGTACTATTTGTAGGAAGGTGGTTTATGGGTTAGATGTGTCACCATTCAAAATCAAATCTTAAAATCAATATTGTCTCTATACAACCTTAATAGACCTAATTATTGATTTAAAAACTTCAAATTTAGTTATCTATTTTTCTTTTTAAGGATATTATTTAATATTTTTATTTTTATTTAAAATAATAATTACAATATATAAAAAATTAAAAGACTGATTTAAGTAATAATTAATTAAATATAAATATAAAGTTTTATCAATTAATGATTATATTCTTATTTTATTTAAAAAATAAGGTCTACTTGAACCGAGGAGTAATACTAAATTCAGAAAAAAATTTAGATGGACTATTTTCTTTGATAATTATATGTAATCATATATTAATCAACAAAGAGGTGAGCTATCATGCAACTAGGCCAAATCATAATGATAAGGAAGGAAAAAAAAAAAAGAAAAAAAAAGAAAAAAGAAACACCATGCTTTCCAATCTCAATTGGTAAAAAATTGTCAATCTCTAAGGTGAATTGTTTAAAAAGCCTTTATGAATCAAATTGTGAGAAAATTTTATTAACAATATTTTAAATGGTCTATGAATAAAACCTTCAAGTCAAATGCTTCATTTTCAAATCTTAATATTTGGGTTTAGTTGATCGGGAATTTAACTCTCACCAATTATTTAAAAAATTCATCTTTTCTCATAGTTCTCTATGTTCAAAAAATAAAAAAAAAAAAAATATTTTAAACCATCTACACTAACATTTTTTTTAAACAATAGTGAAATAATATAGATATAAAATACAATACAATTTCAAAATTGTTTAGCTTAGAATTGTGTAAAATCTCATATATATCACTTAATTCACACATACATAGATAACATGAGACAAACACCCCACGATCAAAAGTCTACACTAACATTTTATTTTATTAGTTTACATTTTATTCATTATATAAAAACTTTGTTCAACAATTGATTAATTAATAAATATTTCAATCATGTTTGATTTAACTATCAATTAATTCATACATTCTTATTAAAAAAACTAATTATTTACTATTTTAAAATAGTAAAACCAAATAGAGGTTAGAATAAAAATATAAAACACTCCAGAAGTGAAAGAAACAAGATAA